AAGGTTAGCGTCAAATCACGTACTACGGTCATTTTTCCACCGAAAAGAAACTTCTTCTCGCCAAGTACGTCATCTATTGCTTGTATGTCGCGTCGTAACAACTCTTTGAGTTCGTCTCGCGATAACCGTCCTAACACTCCATTCACTCGCTTTTTGATCTGAAAAGCACATGCAATGATTGATAGAAGAAGGAAACAGTAGGTATAACGCAGCCGCCGTCTCCGATTAGTTTTTTTTACAGTTTTTTGCTTTCGCGTCGCTACAATGAGTGAAAAGGGTGCTGCTGTCGCTATGAGCCAAGAGAACGCCACCCGTACAAACTTCATCCATCCTGGGACGGGATATGCCTCCAGTTCTACGTGTGGAAAGATGGGACGTTTTGTGTCCATTCGATGAGATGAGGATGAGATCGATCCTCTTCGTGTCGCTCGTCTCCAAGCTCGTACTGCTTTCTTTTATTAGTTTTTGGCCTCTCATCCTCAACAATGTCTTACTTTTCCTCCAATCTGAGCATTTTCTTTATTCACTTTTTCCCCTCACCAGCGAGTCAGTGAGCATCTAGGAAGTCATATTCAGATCTCGAAGCCCACGATTCGCGAATTGTGTTTCAGGAACCAAGCATTAAGAACATACCGTTTCCGAAAATCGCTTGGCCATAAAGTTCGTAAGCAAATGCTGGCAGTGGTAGACCGCTCACGGAACGACTCATGAAAGCTGGTGCGTTCAGCACCGATTTATCTTCCATTAGAGCACTAAATAGAATTTCTTAGTGAAGTACAATCAAAATGGGGCAGAGAACAAATTGAACACATCAATCTTCAAGACAGTACATCATCCGATAGCACCAACACGTGAAGTAAAGAGCGTGGCGAAACGCGCGGTGGGTGTGTAGCTATTCAAACGGGGCGCTCGGCTGGATGCATCATTAGGACAAGCTACGCCGCAATCTTCAATGCTACTTGTCGAGTATCATATTTACTTGGCATCTTAGGAAGATGGAAGACATCAATTTTGCTCCATGAATAGAATCGCTGATCTCCAGCGGATGTGCCACTCCACGCCCACGCTTTCTCGAGGAAATAAGCATATAAGAAGTAGTGCCCAACTCAGTGAAAACAATACACCCTCTCACTCCCAACACTTCTCACTGTTGAGGTTTCACCTCGAGGACTCGTAGGAGAATGTAGCTCATTACCACGCACGCCTTCACTCTCTTACTCCTACATCGCGTCCCCGCGGACCGACCGAGTCTTCCGAGTACCTGCTGAGCCGTAACCTTCGTACGAGTCTTGTCTGGGAGGATAAAAACACCTAGCTCCCGCAAGTTATTGTGTAGATGGAATCGCATTCAACATGTCAACTACGAAGAATGGATGTAGATTGCGGGCTGCGCTCCAAAGGGGGACTGATAGACCGACCGCCGAAGCTTATTTTAAATCAGTGCCCCACTCATTAACATCATCGCCATCGACAAAATAAAAACATTCTCCGTTGACTCACTACATACTGCTCACTTCAACCATGCGTTCCAGAGCACGAGCTGCTCCTCGTTCCATACCCGAAAAAATCGTAGGTTATCAGAACAACTGTTCTTGATTCCCTTATACTGGCAACAATGAAATCCTGATAAAAGAAGAAATCGTGTCAATAAAGAAGCTTAAACTGCGTCATGTCCTCTTATTTTTTCACAAAAGCATCTAATCACGAGCAGAGAAGAAAAATCGGGACGAGATCTCAAAAGCGCAAGTTACTTGTAGAACAGTAGTTAGAAACACACTGGGGCAATGAGAAGGAAGGTCGTCAACAAGGTGGTGCGGCGGTTGAGCGATCCTGAATGGGATTTTGATTGGCAATCGCCCTGGTGGGCACGGAGGATCTACTCGTGCCACCATGCGTGGCGGCAAGCCCTTTCTCCCTTTCAGCGGTGAAATACGACCGGAATAGTGGTGAAAGTTCAGAAGTGATTCACGGCAAATTTATACGATTGAGCTGTTCGTTTCAGTCTGGCTGCTTGTATGCTGCGATCTCATATAGTCCCGTTCGTTATCGATGAAAGGAGGGAGGGAAGGTGTCAGGCGGGACGCATTTGGCGCGGCGCTACCTACCTCGTTTTACCCGCTCCGCTCCATCACTAGTGGGAGTGGAAATTTGGTGTCCCGCCAAGCAACTTCATCGCCGAACGTGATGACCCCTTCATCTGCAGCGAGCAAGACCATAATAACGTAATATCACAAGTAACAGGCACAAAGTTTAAACGTCAGAAATTTTCACGAAGCACCTTACCTCAATCTTGAAGTGCTTTTGCAACTCCCAGATAATAACTTGTGAGTCGGCAATTTGTTGGCCATTGAGCTCGATAAATGGTAATAAGCCGCGTGTTGAACGCTGTCGATACGATCCTATAACCTAAAGCAGAATCAAACAGCGTGATAAAGATAGGTACACACATTTTTGGACTGTTTTGTGGGGATTTTATGAGTTCATTCTCGACAGGAGGTTGATGAGTAGGCAACGCATCGTCGCAGTACTAAAATGTCCACTGCTTCTTTAAGTCGCCGAGAAGAGAGGGGGTCGCACTTAATCTGAGAAATTTTTTTGATAGTTGGTTTTTCTTGTTTCACGGACCCATATAAGGGGGAGGTGATCGTTTGTTAAAGAGGGGGGGGGTCGTTATTTCTCGCAGTATTCCGTTTCACCATGTGGCTTCCTCCTCCCTCGACAGCTCCGAACGTACATGAGGAGGGAACTAGTGAGGGGGGGGGGGAATCAATACCTTTTAGTGGAGTCGCCAAGATCTCTACCAAAGTCCCCAACTAATTATGTGCTCTGGTTGGGAAAACTCCTGCTCTCTTTTTTGCTTCAAGTCCATGATCTGACATTTTTTTGCCACATCGAGGACAAAAAAATTAAGAAGGCTCACCTCATACTTTATGTCGTTTACACGTAGAAATGTCTCGACTTTGAGACAGAACGGCGACAAATTCGGCATCACTGGCGATCGAGGGAACTGATAGAGATAAACCGTGTCAGGCTTCCAGTTAGTTATCTGGTGCACTGCTATTAGACCACCCTGAAGTTGCTAATAAATAAAAATCATCAAGGATAAGCAGAAATCAAATAAGAAATGAAAAATGGCCAATCTTTGGTTCCAAAGAATACCTTATGGCGTCTACCGGCGATTTGGAGACAGCCAGCCGTACCGAACCTTGAGTGCCAAGCAGCCCCATTACTAGCCGCATTTTCAGGCTGCAACATATTTGTTTAGTCATAATCGCTGTCAACGATACGGCGTGTAACGGGGTATGGGTGGGGAGGGGGGCTTGCCGCCAGCGCAGCCAGGGCAGCCTTCGCCCACCAGTTGTAGCGGGCTCAGGACGTCATCATTGGTGGAAAAGACCATCTGACTGGCGTGCATAGCCACGCCCACCACAGGCCCTATCGTTTGCAGGGATCATGACTACCACCCATGTCCGGCGAGCTGTGTAGGGCGTGGCTACGTACTTCAATCGAGAACGCTAGCGGGAATGAGGTTTTCGTGGTGTCCTTTTGAGAAATACCACTGCCCCTGTGCTCGACAAGGACAACGGCAAGTATCCCACAGTGAGGGCCGCAGCAATGCTCAAGCGATATGGCAGTCACACCTCATCTCCATTTCCGGGATATGGGGTGTACCTCAGTGTAATTTGTGTCGGCAGTAAACATATGGCAATATTGGGACAGTACCCAAATAGACAAAAAAGCCTCTATGTAATCTATTATTCATGAAGAAGATATTTTACTCTCAGTATCAATCAGAGGTACTAACCCAAATCTATTGCTCAACAATACAATGTACAACAAATTAAACTAGTTTCTAGAAAGCTTATAAAAAAATCTATTGGAGCGAATGGGCCTTCTTGTATTCCTAGATCGCGTGTTTCGCCTGGATTCTTGCATGTTCTGCTGCTGCTGAATCGACTTCAAGCGGGATTTAACTCCTTCCTGACGTCGTTCACGTTGACGCCTTTCATCCCACAGGACAAAAGCTGAAACCATTTCGTAAACCATGATTCAAAAACGGTTCCGTTGAACATAGGTCAAACGACGAAAACAGTAAACCGCTCTCTCGTGTTCCTTACAGAGTCTAAGGCAGAGTTCAGATTTCGCGATCGCGCGCTATAACTGCAACAGCGCTCCAGTCTTAGATCGATCAGTTATAGACGTGATAGCAGCCTCAATCTATCAGCGCTGACCGCTTCTGTCCTGAGAGAAGTTCGGGTTAACAAGTGGGCAGGCCACGTCTTACGCAATTGGTACTTTCCCATCTTTCAAAAGCCCCGCGCCTAGCACTGATTTTGATAACTCGAGACTGCATGATCCGCTGTAATCCGCTCCGACGTCATGAGGATTGGAGCGCGTATGCAAGACTGGTAGGCTCTGTTGCGCGCGTTATGGTGAGTCGTCGCGTGTCATCGCGAGGTCCGAACAGGGTACAGCATCGTTGTGTGAAACACGTGGGGGTCGTACTTTTCGACTGGGGAAGGGGGGAGATTCGTATTTGGTCGTTGTTATGAGTGGGGGGTGGGTCATATGTGGCTTTGAGAGGAATTTGCCGCGTTGGGGAAAACAATGTCTCTCGGTTGGTTCATCTTTCGTGATTTTCCTGTTCCACGAATTACACCTCTGCCTCGCTTGTCACAGGCAATTTTTTTATGGGAAAAAGTACCCCCCCGCCTATGACGAGAAAATTTTGGGTACAAAAGTGGAAAATGGGGAAATGGGTAGGTACGACCACAGATTTGTGAAGGGGGGGTGGTCGTACTGACACCTTCACTTCACAATGCTGAACCCTGGGTCTGAACGCTGCCTTACAGTGCGTAACGGGTGCATAGCAAATCTCCCGCTCAGGTCATACAGGCTTTATGGGTCTCGCTGCGCGAAATTATCGTTGCAGTTTGTCGAGTACTACTACAATTTTTGATGAGAAAACTGTAAAGGATCTAACAAGCGTGAAGTACAGCCTTTTCAAAGTCTCGCGGGTGAGGATGTTTTGAAACTTGTGAATAATACATTCAGAAATTTGTTGGTCAAATAACACGTTGAAATGTGATGATTCGGAAATTCAGTTAAAAGAACGCTAAAGAGTCAGATAAATTGAATTCGCTGCAGAAGCATTTTGCTACAGTGCGGCGTCAGCTCGAGTGTCACGGCCCTTCTTCCTCTTCTCTCTAACAACGGAGCTGATCAAGCTATTTATTCGTAGTATCAGGTATCAGGTAAGATCGCGTAAGCGGCGGTTGGCAGAGCTCTCGCCGGTCCGGTTCACTACTCCGGGCGCTCCCGGGTCAGCCGACTGGCGTCCGGCTAGCCTTACAAAAGGGCAGTCCCTCTCACTGTCCAGCGGGCGCTCTGCCTTGGAATACGGTAAAGAGCGTTGCGGTTGCAGGTGCATACCGCAACATCGAGCCACGCAAATTGGAATGCAGTGGACAGTACGGCCCGTGTTATTGGCATAGTTCAGCACAACCAAGTTGCTGTGACCGCAACTAAAGAGGCGTTGCAAATGAAATCACGTGCGCGACATCCACACCAGGACCTAAATGATTCAGTATAGCAATACAATATCAACTACCCAATTAAAATTCCACCTGAGTTCCTTGCCGCGACCCCAAGTACCATGTACACCCGCTAGCCACATGTTCCTGTAGCCCTTTCCACGGATTTGCGAACCGACGCGGCCAGAAATTATGGTAGCACAGCCAGAGAAAATCGATCATTAAATAGGGTAGCCACACCGCAACGTTGCGCGACTTGAACAGCTTACATACAAATTACAAACATAATCCCAACATACCTATCGTGACTGTCGAAAAAATACAGGAGCCGACTAGCACGCGAAATCCATACCGCTTCTTGGGCGCAGTGTAACATATGGACTGGGCTCAACAGTATCAACCTTGTATGGGATCTAAAGATTCTAACTCTTGTTGAGATGAGAATAATGGTACAAACTAAGCCGGAAAAGCGCTTTGAAATCTTGCAACAGGGGACATATCGCTGGACATCAGGTTCATCATCTGGCTGCTTGAGAAAGCGATCAGACTTCACGTGATGACGTGCCTGTAACGCAGAGTCGACGCGCGCTCATTCAACAGTGCTTCAATCCTACGACGGCGAAATGCAGCCGCAGGCATAAAATCGTTCCGCCGGCGTTTGTCTTCGTGAGAGCATAGAATAACAGCACAGCAAGCGTTGCCTTCACACAGTCTGGTACTCTCCCATTCTTCCATACTCTCCCAAAGTCCTAGTGGCCAGTGCTGATCGACAGACTGCTCAGTCAGGCAGCGCGTACCCTGCTATTCCCCCCACACTCTCCATACACAGCGGACCCGTCAATTGAATTCCTGTCCGCGGCTGCGTTCGCGTCTATAGCCTTGGAGCGCTGTTGCAGCAGTAGCGCGCTACAACGCATTATAGGACGTCGCGCGTCATCGCGAAGTGTGAACGCCTGGACTTAATAGGACAGCCGATTGGCACGATTCACGTTTGCCTGAGGCGGGCACAATTTCAGCAAATATTTCACAGCTAGATCACACAAGATACTATATCATTTCCACGCCAGACTAATTAGATCCCGGTGCGACAGCCCTGCACGCGTTGCAATTGTTCGTCGCCCGCGTCGCCGCAATGTGGACCTCCCAACCGGCTTATCCGACGTGTCGCGGACATAAAAATTTAGAAAAATTAATTACCACTGAACAATAGAAGGACTCAAACCAACTCCTCTTGAACACAAGCCACCACTTAGAATAAACGATTTATGACGCCAAAATACTTATCACAGTCGACAGTGAATACACGAGAATTGCGGAATAATGGTTATTATCAATTCAGAGAAAAGGGAAACTGATCAGTATCGATCAATTACCCATATCCTGTACCTAATTACTGAGCATAAAGCCAAACACGAGAAACAGAACAGTTAGAAGAACATTCTTCAATTAATTATCAACATTAATTACATAGACCCTACAGTTCACTACCCATAAATGATGAAGAGGGAAAGAAATCGGAGCGCGACCGCGTCTGTGAAGAACGGCCCTAGGACGCGCGCAGACGCGGCACGGTTCAACACATGAGAGCATGGGGTAAATAAAGTCTTCGGCATCGAACAATAGGACAACTATTGATAGAAAAACAATCAGAATGACTAGATAATTGGACAATTCACCTTCCACATATAAAGCATAAATAAAGAGTCGCATATTAAGTGAACGAATAATTCCATACCGTACACTATATATGCAATTACTAACAAAATATCGAAACACATTGCAAATAGTATCACTTTCAAGAAAGAAACTCAATCTCCCGTACCTATTCGTGGTTTCAACAATTTACCTAAGTAAAAACTAAGAAATGGGTTCTGTTAAAAGAGCTTATTACTGACTGAGCTGCATACTAGATTTCAAACTGATTAGACAACTCGCATTTGTGAGTTGACAACTGGATTGGCATAGAGATGAAATATTGAATAACTGAATGAAGCATCAAACTGGGCCACCCAGAGGGTTTGTTTACAACTCTGTCAGGCTTAGAAGCAAGTGGTTCCCAAGCACGATCTACATACGGGTGGGAAAATTGACTTAGGGCACACTGAACGTATACCTGGGAAGCGTAGCTTTCTTGTGGAGGGTGGGCAGGCTCGCGAGCGCAAAACTGTACCACTTCCCCCCCCCCCCCCCCCGAAGCTCCTTTCGCAAGTTGATACGCCACACGCCTGCGTAAAACGCGCTGCTCCACCCCACCCTCTCACCCAGGTATTTACCGGTGGGTTCGAGTGAGGCTCACGGGACCCCGCAATCAAAAAATTTCGGATTTTCACCCACCTCGGCGTTCAAAGTATATCGCAATGCCCACAAATCCTAAGAAGAGACCAGATGACAAGATTCCACCGACTTTCGGCGTCTGTGTCCTTCTAAGAATGAGCCTGGAACGTGGAATGCAGCACTTCCTCGCACCCCCGCGGTAGACCCTATCAAGGGCAAGAGTGCCAAGAACATCGCCAAGTCTACCAATTCCCCGTGAACCCTACGATCGTTCAGACCGTTCAATCTAACCTTTTCTTAGCCAGGAAGAGTGCATGGGCCAATCAAAACATTTGAATCCGTGAATCCGTTCAGCCGTTCTCACCCTCATGCCCTGTAAGTGTTCGTTTGCTGTGATCGTATTCGTATTTCGCTCGCATAACCTTTTCGGCCAAGACGACGTGCCAC